GGGGGATCAGGGAGTGTGAGCGTGTGTGTTCCCAGCAGGGGCCACTTGTGCCCGGTGGGGTCAGTGAAGGCTGGAGTGAGCCCATCTGAGTCCACTTGTGGGAAGACATTTTCCCAGGGAGAAAAGGAGGCAGACATGTCTGGGGTGACCCTGGAAGGAAGCTGTGGCCATGTACAGGGAGGGTATTCCTGAGGACAATGTGGCAGCTGTTTCAGAATTTGGCCCTTCCCTCTCCCTGGACATGTGCCTGGCACTTGAGCTCAGAGAAGGCAGTAAAAGTTGCCAGAGTTTTCCCATTGCAAACTCTGCTCTAGGACCCTGTTCCCAAGCTGACAACCTAAAGGGAAGCTGTGTTTCCTGGCTCTTGTCCCCACACACCAGTTTTCCTTCCCATCCTGGGCTCTGCGTGAGTCAGTGCCCAGGGGAGGCAGTAGAACCTCTTGTGCTCATATGGGAGAGGCCCCCAGGGCCCCTGGAGAGTCGATGAGATAAGAAGAGGGCCTCGTCAGGCAGCAAGGCTCCGCGTGGACAGGTAAGGCACAGGCCAGGTAAATCTCAGCTGCCACCATTTCTGTGACTCCCGAAGTACTCAGCCTGGGGGGTACTGAGGAGCATGGGGACACTATAGTTTCCCAAATCATCCCATTTCTCCCTTCTCAAACCCCAGTGCAGTGGCCACACTACTCCATCAGAGGCCGAGCCCCTTCGGTGTCCTCCTCTGAGCAGAAGGGATTGGCTGGACAAGATCCAGGTTGCCCCCGGCTTTCACATTATGGTTCTGTGATTTCTACAGAACACACTGAGGTGTCCCCGAGAACAGGCTGTGCCTCACCATAGAACCCTGAGCCCTGGCTTGTAATGTTCATGCCCCAGGCTTCCATAAAAGCAGCGTCCATAAAGTTCGCCAAGGCCCCCAGGTCAAGCCCGTCCGGGTGGTATGATGAAGAGTGTGAGCCCTGGATAGGACTTCAGAGGCCCGGGTCCTCTGCCACTGAGAGCAGCGTGCCCTTGGGCAAGTCAGTTAACATTGCTGGCTACTCGTCTGTGCAAGGAGCTTCAAGGAAACCTGCCCCCCAGATGCCCACAGCTGGGGCAACGTCATAGAGCCACCACATATGGGAATGCTCTCTAAGTGTTCTCGCTGAGTGGTTTGCCTCTTGTGCAAGGGCCCAGGGTCCAGGAGCAGCACAGAGTGAAGTCAGCAGCAGTTTATGGCCTCACTCTTGTAGTAAGGGCCTAGGGCTCCCGGGTGGCCCCTGGGCAAACCCAGATGCCACCCCAGTGCACTGTGGATCCATCCCTCCTTCTCAGAGGCCCTTGACTGCTGGTTTCCTCCAGCCCCTGCTGTGTCCAGCTGTGGGGACGCTGGCTTAGCCCAGCCTTGCTCTGCAGGCCTGCCTTCTGGCCTCCGCTCAAGGAGGGCTTTTGAACCTGGGCCTCAGGTAGCTGGCACATGTACTCTGTGTCTTTGACCTCTGATATCCTATTGATGACCTTGAAGGAAAAATGCCAGCAGAATGCTTTTGGGGGTATTACTGTATAGGGCAACCTACAGTTCTGGAGGCGATGGCAGTCCTGGTCCCATTATGCTGCCTGCCAAGGGGGAAGGCATTTGGGGAAAAGGCTGGGGAAGGATTCAAGGAAGTGGGAGAGGTGTTTGCCAAAACCAAGCCCCAGGAGGTGGCTGGATGGGGAGTTGGAGTGGGCATCACCTCCTCGCCAGACCCCCGTGTAGCAAACCTTGCTGCACATTGGATTAATACATTATTGGGACAATTGGTGAAAGTTAAAAAAGATGGATTATATACTATTATTGTACCAATGTTGATTTTCTGATGTTGATCATTGTACTGTGGATATTCAAATGAATGTTCATGTTATTAGGAGCAAATAACAAGGGAAGCAGTTGCCTCTTTCAACCCTAAAAGTCCCTGAAGTTGTGGACTCCTTATTCCCTTACACCCCTGCTTGCAAAGTGATCACTTCTGGGTGTACCTTTACAAGCCAGCAGATGATTCGAACCACTCCCTTGTATTCTGATGTGGTGACTGGCAATGCTTCAGATGGGAGTTGCTTGGATCCACAGGGCCTGGGGTAAGGAGGTGGCTTGCTGGGCATCTCCAAAATCCATTTGTCACAAGAGTTCAGGTCAGACTCTTGATCCTATCCTTGCCACAAGGGGCAAGAGAGTAGAGTTTGAGGTTCCTGAGTTTTAATTGGCCTTTTTTACTAAAAACCACCTCTCAGATTTATCTTTTAGTAACAGAAATGGGGAAGCAGTTGCCTCTTCTAACCCCAAAAGTCCCTGGATTTCTGGACCTTTTAGTCTCTTCTATCCTGCTTGCAAACTGGTCACTTCTTTTCTAAGCCCATCTCCTTCTTTTTTTTTTTTTTTTCTTTTTTTTTTGAGACAGAGTCTCGCTTTGTTGTCCAGGCTAGAGTGAGTGCCGTGGCGTCAGCCTAGCTCACAGCAACCTCAAACTCCTGGGCTCAAGCAATCCTGCTGCCTCAGCCTCCCGAGTAGCTGGGACTACAGGCATGCGCCACCATGCCCGGCTAATTTTTTATATATATATCAGTTGGCCAATTAATTTCTTTCTATTTATAGTAGAGACGGGGTCTCGCTCTTGCTCAGGCTGGTTTTGAACTCCTGACCTTGAGCAATCCGCCCGCCTCGGCCTCCCAGAGAGCTAGGATTACAGGCGTGAGCCACAGCGCCCGGCCTCATCTCCTTCTTATAATGCTTTGTCAAACACAGCCAAGAGCAGCCAACATGCAATGCCAATCTTGTGTTTTCATCATGTTCTTTTGGAGTGATGAGTTCATTAGGTATGTTATCTGTAGGTGACAGTTTGTCAAATGTTTGCCTCTTCATAACATGAACCTCCTTCCATCCAGCTTTGGCCAACAGCTTCCTCCCTGCTCCTCCTAGCACCCAGGCCAGTGCACCTATTTTAGTTTTTTATTTCATCAGCAACATTCTTCCAGAATCTTCCATGATAGGCTAGGTAATAAACAATTCTCCAAAAAATCTTAGTGGCTCATAATAACAAAGTTGGTTTTTTTTCCTCGCTCAAGCTAGATGCACTTGGAAGGCAATTTAACTTATCTTTTCAGTTTATAGGTCTCTGGATCAAGAGGAACCACATCCTGACCTGATGTCCCAGGGACCTGGACTTGATGTGATGGTGTGGGGCTTTGGTTGCCTCCTGGGAGGAGTGGAGAGTGTGTTTTGCCTGTGGCAGGGAAGGAGTGGCCAGAAGGGCAGATTTAGTAGTCACTAGCACTGCTCACAGGCTATTAACACTTTGGGCGTTGGTCTTCTGGGATGTGCAGGATGGTACTTTCCTCTCACACAAAGTCAGGAGTGAGCTGCTTTGTCCAGTGAATTGTGGGTGAAAGTTACATGTGTCCCTTCCAGCCAGGAGCTTTCCTGATACAGAAGGAAGCACTCCCTTTCTGCTTGGCACACACTGGTGCTTGGAGTTGTAGCATCCGTCTTATGACTGGGAGGAGATGAGTTAAAAAAAAAAAAAAGATAAAGGTAACACTGAGAAAGGATGGCAGATGGTGGAACAGAAAAATAGAAAGAAGCTGGGTCCCTAGGGTAGAGCCATCGAATTAGCTTTTGGGGCTCCCTACCTCCATGCTTCCTGTTCTGTGAGAAAGGAAAGCCCTTATTCTTTGCATTTGGTTGGATGTTGTTACTTGCAGCCACACAGGTGTGGTAGACAGAATAATGACCCACCAGAGATGTTTATATTTGAATCCCCAGAACCTGAGAATGTGTTGTCTTGGCCAGAAGGGACATTGCTGATGTGACTAAGTTAAGAATTTTCCTGGATTACCCAGATGCACCCAATGTAAACAAGTACTTTTAAGAGGGAGGCAAGAAGCTTAAGGTCAAAAGAAGAGGAACAATGGAAGCAGAGGTTGAAGTCATGCATTTTGAAGACAGAGGACGGCAGGGCCAGGAGTCAAGAAACGCAGGCCCCCTGTAGAAGCTAGAAAAGACAAGGAAAAGGAATTTTTTTTTGGAGCCCCCAGAAAGAACCCAGCTCTGCCAACATCTTGATTTTAGCCCTGTGGAGCCCTTTTGGACTTTAGATCTCCAGAATTGTAAAAGAAAAAATTTGTGCTGCCTTAAGCCACCCAGTTTGTAGTAATTTGTTGCAGCAGCCCTAGGAAGCTACTAGGGATGGTGTGCGCTAACCTAATGACAACAGACCACACCCACAAGGGTGATCTCCCCAGCAAAGTAGTCTTTAGAGAGCAACTAACATTTCCTTGCCTATTTAAAAGGAGAATCAATAAAGTACATAAGAGTTAGAGGAAAGGAAGGAACATTTTCCACGTAGATTATAACTCCTTTCCTACTGGCACAATAGCAAAAACGGAGATTCTTGAGAGTGAGTCTAGTATTCCAGTTGGTTACTGTGTTCTGTCTGCAGCTCCCAGTCTACCAGGCTACCCTGGACTTTAGTCCTGTAGGCCTGGGCCACCTCCAGATCACAGCGATATTAGAGTTCGCTGGAATGCCCAGTTTGAGGGTGGCAGGGACTTGAGCTGAAGTGCAGCTCAGTTGGGGCCAGAGCCAGCCAAGTCATCCTGGATCTTGGGAGGCAGGCAAAGTGGCTGGCACGGATCCCTCACGACTCTGGGACCAGCACACTCTCTGGGGATCTAATACTTGCCTCTTGTAGCCCACAAACCTAAAGGGACAACTGGCTAGCAGGGCAAGCGGGTAGGGTTTGCGGTTCCTTAGAAGAGCGAGAGGAGACTGCGTAGGAGCGCGACTTGCTGGACAGCGCTTCAGCCCAGCCCAGGGGGGCGGGTCAGCGCAGGGCGGGCCGTGGAGGGAGGGGACAGGAAGGTGAGGAGGGAGGAGACCGGGCTGGCGGGGTGGAGATAAAGAGGCGTGCCTCTGGGCCCCACCTGCGGGAGCTCGGAGGAGGCGCGGACGCAAGCCGACCCATTAGCCACGCGGCAGAGCCAGAGGCCGGGGCGCGATGGAGCCGGCGGCTGACCTGGGGCTCGGGGACTCGTCCCTGCACCGCTACCTGGACGGCGACTTCTGGAGCCTCAAGAACGAGCTGCGCAGGCTCCTGGGCGGCTGCCCGCTCTTCCGGCACAGGTACCGCGCGGCTGCCGCCGCCCCTGCCCGCGCGCGCCTCGGGCCGGCCGGGCACGTCCCCCGGGTCCCCTGCGCGTCCCTGCGGGCACCGTCCGGGGCGCTGCGGGAGAGGGCGAGGTGGGGGTGTGCTGCGCCCGCGAGGCAGGCCGGTCCCTCACCTCCGCAGAGGATGCGCTCTCTTCCACACGTGTGGGCGCAGCCGCCGCCGCCGCCCTCCTCGGTCCGGTCCGCAGGGACGGCGTCCCCTGCCTCCGAGCGCCCGCCCGCACGAGGGGGCGGGCTGAGGGGCGGGCTCCGCGGTGGCCCCGCGCGGTGCTCGGCCGAGACGGCCGTGGCTGGAAGAATCGGCCTTGCTTCTAAACCTCAGTGTGTCGAGTCCCGGCGGGGTGTGCGTACAGGCACGGACTGGCCCTGCCCAGGGTGAGTCCGGACGCCATGCGGTGGACAGACTCCCAGGGGTCTGCCCAGTGGGCAGCTGACAGCAGGGGGCAGTTTGGTTGCCAGAGGGGCTCAGGTTCACGACGTCAGCTGACGCCACGACAGCCCGAGAAGGAGGCAGACGGGTAGTGCAGCTCAAGTTCGGAGATGGAGAGAAGGTCTCGGGCACCGGCCAGTCAGGAGCAGAGCTGGCACTCGTGCCTCTCTGGGCGCGCTTTCTCCTGCGCTCTGCGGGGCAGCCGATCCCGTTTCAGGCAGTCTGAAAAACCCAGCCGTGCTCTGGAGTTCGAGCTTAGGAAAGCCCTTATTAAAAACGCCAGTATCCTCCGGTTAGCTCGTGCCCAGTTAGCCCACGTTTAATTTCTCTCTCAAGATTGAGCTGGGCTGAGAGGGAAGGAGATGGCTTGAAAGGCAGGCAGTCTGGAGACAAATCTGGGGTTCCCCCACTGGGGTTACGTAATGGGGACGTGCCGGCCTAGGGAAGTTGCAGAGGGACAGGTATGGGATATGGTGGGTGTGTTCTTGAGTGTCTCCCTCAACTTCTCTTACTCTCTCTCCCATGCATGGAGCTCTATCTAAGTCACGGTTCTCAAATTGTGGTACAGGGACCCCTGGGCATACCAAGACCATTTCGGAAGGTTCATGAATTCAAAACTATTTTTATTTATTTTATTTTATTTTATTTTATTTTATTTTATTTTATTTTATTTTATTTTATTTTATTTGAGACAGAGTCTCACTTTGTTGCCCAGGCTAGAGTGAGTGCCGTGACGTCAGCCTAGCTCACAGCAACCTCAATCTCCTGGGCTCAGCGATCCTACTGCCTCAGCCTCCCGAGTAGCTGGGACTACAGGCATGAGCCACCATGCCCGTCTAATTTTTTGTATATATATTTTTAGTTGGTCAATTAATTTATTTCTATTTTTTGGTAGAGACGGGGTCTCGCTCAGGCTGGTTTCGAACTCCTGACCTTGAGCAATCCGCGCGCCTCGGCCTCCCAAAGTGCTAGGATTACAGGCGTGAGCCACCACGCCCGGCCTCAAAACTATTTTTATAATGATCCTAAGATGTTATTGGGTTTTTTCACTCTCATTCTCTCACTAATGTACAGTGTCGGTTTCCAGAAACTATATGATGTGTATTATTCCAGTAGAAGCAGAGATGAGAATTCAGCTGTCTTCTATTAAGACAGACATTAAAGAGATTTGTAAAAATGCAGAACAATGCTACTCTTCTTATATATATATATATATATATTTGTTCTGGAAACAGTTATATTCATAAAACACACTTAATAGATTTGTTACTGTTATTTTTTAAATGAAGTAATAATTACTTGAAAAATTTTCTGTGACAATTTCTAATATGATACATATCAGCAGATATAACCGACTCAAATAAAAACTGTTTAGGGATCTGAATGATTTTTAAGAGTGCAAAGAGTTCCTCAGACCCATAAGTTTGAAAACTGCTGCTTTCATTTTGGATAACTGCAGTTTAAAATATGGGACAAAATTCTAATAGCCAAACTACTGATTTGTGCCAGGTAGAAGGCACTTGGTCATGGACATGGGGACAGTGGGAAAGGCAAGCCAGGATGGGAGAGCCAGCCCAGTAGTTTGTCTCAGTGTCACTGCCATTGTGTAATTCCCCCGGCGCCCTTGCTGAGCTTACATTTGCTTATTCACATAGCAAGAATAATATCCGTGTTGCTGGGTTGTTGTGAAACTTAAATGAGAAACTTTTGAGTGGGCATTCAGTAGACACTGGTTGTGGTAGGACACCAAAAACACCAAAAAAGGAAAAGAAGGAAAAAGCAAAAATCCCATTAAATCTCTAACAAACATTTTTTCCATTCTTTCCAGTTCTTGTTATTTACTTCATCATTTCAGAGCTGTAATAATAGCACAGACAACATATTTTTTTTTACCAAATGGTTAAAGGTTCTGATATGTATCTATTTGAAAGTTCACATTGTACTCTCAGATTCTATCTTAGCCCATGTTAGAAGATGTGATCTTGATTTCTGGATGTTTTAGCATTCTACTAATGGAAAAAAGCTTTGTAGAAGGTCAGAAATAAAACTTCCCTATTCACTGAGGCAATGTGAGACCTCCCACGGCTGGTTCCCACCTTACCCCAAACAGGCCCTTGCAGCTAAAGTAGGGGTGTGTTTGGGGGAGGGGTTGTGCAGCATGGTTGTGGGTCCTGTGTGTGTGTGTGTGTGTGTGTGTGTGTGAATTTGTGTGTGTGTGTATAGTGGGAAGTTTGTACAGGGCCAGATACTCCCAGGACAGATGAGCTCAGGACATAGTTTTCCTCCAAAAGAAAAGAGTTTGTGCAATTTCCTATGTACACATGGGTGGCTGCCCTCCTCAGAACCAGGGTTCGTCCCCAGAATGCTGGCCATCGGCTCCCAGGAGCCATGCTGCCCACGTCCCCATTATGAAGAGCAGTTTCCTCTCTCTCCCAAAGATGCGCTTGCCAGGCGGAGTCCTCAGTCTTCATTCTGTTGGAGTGCCCCAGACCCTGGGCATGCTGGGGGCTGCAGAGGTTCCTCCCTGTCCGGATAGTGTGTCCTATTTACTGTGACTGGCAGAGGATTCTGGGCGACTTGGGGCTCCTCACTGGGGCTTGCAGGGAATGTTAAAAATCAACCTCTGAAAGGAGGTAAGCTTTTAAAATATTTTTGAGTTTATTTATTGGCAAATGGAAGCTCTTTCATGAGCTCTCCCTGGCTGGTGAGTGGGTGTGCTTGTGCACAAGCATGGTGCATATTGTTCAGCCAGACAACTTAAATAGACCTTCTAGACGGTTCTGTTCTCCCAAGACCTTCTCACACCCTTCCACAAGGCTCCCCTCTCCAGCTCCTGCCTGTTGCCCCTGGCTGCTTCCCTCCCCCTTTCTTTTTTTTCACTTCCCCAGAGCAATGCACATTTCTGGGCCTAACTTTTTCATATCTTTAGCTTTCCTCCTCAGTCTTATTTATACATGCAAGTCTTTCATGAACACACTCTCATTGTGAAGAGTCAAATACCGTGGAAATCTGGAAAGTTTCCCAAAGCGTTTCCTTCTCCAACCACTTTTTTTTTTATTGTGGTAAAATACACATAATATAAAAATTACCATCTTAACCATTTTCAAGTGTACAGTTCAGTGGTATTAAGTACCTTCCCATTGTTGTGCAACCATCACCACTACCCAGCTCCAGAACGTTTTTATTCTCCGAAACTGAAATTCTGCACCCATTAAACACTAACTGCTCCCTGCTCGCCACCCTCCTCCAGCCTCTGGCAACCCCCTTGCATTTTCTGTGTCTATGGATTTGACTACTCTAGGAACCTCACGCTATTGAACACAGAATTTGCCTTTTTGTGAGTGGATTATTTCACTCAGCATAATGTCCTTGAGGTTCATCCATGCTGTAGCGCGTATCAGAATTTCCTCCCTTTTTAAGGCCGAGTGATATTTCATTGTATATATAGACCACATTTTGATTATTCGCTCCTCTGTTGATGGAGATTTGAGCCCCCGACCACATTTACTACTTTAGTGTGGTTATAGACACTTTTTCTACTTTTCTGTGAGTTCATGTACACATATGAACATTATTTTGTTGTAGTAACAGGATCTTGCTTTGTGTTTTGTTCTACAGCTTGCTTTTTTAACAATTTAATTCTTATTTCCACTGATGTAATATATGGACATACTTAATAAAATTGTACTTTGAGGTTTGTAATGAAAAACAGCCACCCCATGTCTCACCCCTCTTCATCTCTCATTTCCCTTCCTCATGGGCAACCACTCCCAATTCTTTTACTTGACTTTTATGTTATTCACCTCTGTATGCCTAATAACATGCTTAAATGGCCACCTCTCGGGTTATAAACTGGCTTACTGTTATGGAAAATGAAGATTTCTTATCTCAACACTGCTTTCCTTTTCTATCCTCTGAAAATCAATGTTCCACTGTCTTTATTTAAATCAATATCCAGTTTCACACTGCTATGACTATATAAATATTATCCCCAGCTATGCCTCGTAGTGTACCATATTTCATTTCCTTTCTGTTACAACTTTTTGATTTCTCTGGAGATAATTGTCCCCTTTATTCATTTGCTCAGTTTTCTATAAACCCATCACTCACTGACTTCCACGCTAGATAGATACAAGATAGACTAGATCTATCGCAGGACGGAACAGTCTCACTGCACACAGTGTGGTCAGACCTGTCAGGTAATTGGCAGTTCCACTCCTTTTGGCCCCCCATGGACACATCCATCCCGGAGGCCTCCTTCCGTGGCTTCAGTCTGGAACTGGCTCTCTACCTGTCCTTTCACCGTCATCTTGGAAATTTCCTTTGCGTCTCCTCTGTGCTCAAGTCACTGTTTTCCCCAGGCTTTCTCTTTCTTGGTTATCCTTTGTAGAGGCTCAGAGAGGACCACCTTCTTTAATGCGACTCCTGTTGAGAGGTGTGGTTTGTGTCCCCTCCTCTTGAATCTGAGACGCTTTGTGACTGCTTTGGCCAACAGAGTATGGCTGAAGTGACAATGTGCAGTGTC